CCGCCATCAGAGCTGCACGGGGGCCGCCTCCTGCCTCCTCCATGGCCAGGACGCGATCCTGACCCTCCCTGACCCCAGAGAGAGCGGTGCTTCCCGTCCAATGGCTCCACGTACCTCAGCCCCACACTGGGGGTCCCGAGTCCCCCAACAACCCACCGAAAGCCACCCCTTTCCCAGCGCCCAGCCCCAGGACTCCGCCCTCTCACCGGGTTGTCCCAAAGCCCAGCACTCAGGAAGCGCCCAAACATCTGTGGGGAGCCGGAGAACACCAGAGGTCCTGGGGTCCCCAGGAACAGGGAGCAGGGCCTGGCTGCACCCGGGTCAGGCCCCACAAACCACATGCCCCACTCCAGGCCTCGCCGGCCACCACTCCCATTACACAGATGGGAAAACCAAGGCCCGGGGAGCCCAACGGACCGGCCCTTGGAGAGGGACACAGGACGGCACTGGGATCAGACGCCCCTCTGGGCTGACTCAGGCCCCCAGCCCTTCAGAAGGCCCCACCCTGGCTGGCCCGCGGACGCCCCGTGACACTTCCTGGGCCAGCTCCTGATCTAACATTCAGTCAACAAACGTTTGCCGAGGTCGAGAGGCACTGGTCCCAGGTGGCAGTTTCTGTGCTGCTGCCGGGCACCGAGGGGAGGGGAGGGTGGGGTGTGGGGGTCCCCGATTCCGGCCCGAGAGGGCTGAGGGGAGGCCGACAGCAGGACCGGATGGGAGCTCCGCACAGGGAGCAGGACTCCCGGAAACAAGGAGTGGTGAGCCTTGGGGAGGGGACCGAGGAGGCAGGCGGGTGCCGGGGCTTTGCGGGGACCAGGCAGAGGTCTCCCTACAGACCACAGGCCCCTCCGCCTCCTCGCCTCCTTCTCAAGGCCCAGCGAGGACTGCCCCGCCCCCCCCGCAGCTGCCCCAGGGAACGCTAACGCTGACCACATCCTCCACCCCCCACGCCAAGCTCTGCAGCCCCAAGTCGCACCGCCATCCCTCTCTGCCTGCACCCCGCTGCCGCAGCCTCCCTGCAATAGTGGGGAGCTCCTATGCATCCCACAAAACCCCGCCCACAACACACGCTCTTGCCCCGCCCTGGCCCTGAGCGTGTGAGTTCTCCCTGTCTGCCCATCAGAGTCTGGGGTTCCCCCCACAACAGCCGGTGGGACCCTGGGGTGGGGAGAGGAACTCCTCGCCCCACCTGTGAGAGCTAGCGCGAGAGGTGGCTGGGGGCTGGGGGCGTGGGGCCACCAGGACTTCCGGAGAAAGGAGGGAGTGGCTGCCCAGGGCACCAGGGTGGAAGGCCTGTCACCCCCGCTACCTGGCCCTGAGCAGCGGG